CTTTCACTGCTAAATTTGGGACGGCTAGCGCAGATAGCTCTCGTGTAGCTTTGCGCGAAATTCAAAAACAAACAAACAAATCTTTCTTCTGCTTCTTTTTTATTACACAATAACTCAAAAACCAAAACAATGGTATCAACCAATTTCACTGTGGTGACAGAGTTTCAAACTGAGTATCCACTCTGATAAGTATTATTAATAACTAGTATTAATTGAAAAAATCATAATTCTAGTGTAATCGATGTTATCATTACCCATTGAAGTTAGTTTTCTTACAGAAATTCGGTGTTTCTTTAAAAAGCTTCAGTACAGGGTGAAACAGGAATTACCAGCCAATACTAGATAAACAATAAATATAATAGTTGGAAGTTAGTTTTATTTAGAACTTGAATATAAATACAACCTTTCTATGTATATAGCAACACTGCATTAAAAATAAGCAAACAAACAAAGAAAAACTTTTTCGTAAAGGAACTAAATATAGGATGGCTAATATCAGTCCTTCAAAAACAATATGCAAAACAGACAGTAGAGATGGCATTTGCATCCTCCATATATAATAGCACAGGCAAGAATTATTGTACAGCAATATATATATATAAACTATTCAATCATAATTGAGTTTAATATATCGTATTTTTATCTGCTAACATTCTACTACACTATGTGCCTGTATTGTTAGCCATCCTTTATGGAAAAGTTTTTTTTTATTTGTTTGCTTTTTTTAAACTTTTTGCTATGATATGTACAAACATTCCCTGAGCTTGTGACTCAGTTATTAGATACATATTGTTATAAAAGGAAACATTGTATAGTATTGTAAAGTTCTAATGACCTATTGAGGAGATATTTAAAGTACCATTTCCATGAACAATCTGAGCCATTCCTACATAGGCAGTGCTACCGCCTGCCTGATAAATAAAATGTAAATGTATTTATTTCGAAATAAATAAGTAGCTTTTCGATACTGTGACATTTGTTTTCCATTCTTATTTAAATTTCTAGTTTTCACAACTAGCACTTCAGAAAATATTTTAAGTAAATTCAACCTGGTGTTCTTTACTTTTCGCCTTAATTATCATAAACAAAATTCACGACTTCCTATTAAAATTATTTTCTCCGTTTTAATTCTGGAGATTCTTGAAAAGATGCAAAGCATCTAAAAAAATTCATTCATCCCCAAGAAGTAAAGTCCATTGAGCATGTAAGCCACGTCATTCGGTTTATCTCCTATTGTTCAAGGACTGTATCAACTAATTTTACATTGTAGATGCAAACGTTATTATCCATTAAGCTGAAGACAGGACCAGCCTGTTTTCAAGCATTTGACAGTATAAAAGGTAGTTGGATGCTATTATTAGTCTATGTGGCATTCCACAAAATCCAGAAGCTGATACGCAAACCAGTGCTTATTTCTGTCCACAGAATACTTCCTATGCCGCCATATCCATGTAGTTCTGAAGAACATTGGTGGATCTAATTAAAGACTCTCTCCAAATAATATATGTCTGGTAGCTAGACTTCGTCTGTGAAAATATGTTTCTTCAAATATCCATTGGCACAGTTATAGGTGCGGTATTTTATACTTAGTTATGAGCAAAATTCATCTCGCTGGTCGTCTTGCATACAGGCCGGTTAAGTGAAGCCTGTTTTTAACCGTTTATACGTCAATACCTTACATTTGTTTAAGCCAGAATCGAAAGATAGTTATTGCCTACTTGTACTGTGGATGACAGTTTGCCTTGTTCAGATGCCCAAACAACTACACCACTTGTTTAGAATCAATTTTACGTAAAGACATTTTAAAAAACTGAAAGCTAACTAAAAAATTGCTGTGATTAACCATCTTCCATTTATAAATACAAAAAAAAATTATTCAATTTGATGTAATATTTGTCCTCTCTTTAGCTGAACAAGTGAGTAGTTTGAAAGCTAAAACTGGTTTTGCTTTATATAGTGTTCTAAGCTATATTTTCAATCTTCTAATTTAGATGTTTGTTTACTAGATGTCGAAATTTTTGTCAAAGTTCTATTTTATTTTCACCAAAATAATTCCACATCATCTGACACAGTGTTGTACCATGTTCTATTGTTGGGAGAGTTCTTTTGGATTATTTGGTTAAATTGATGCCGACTCCAGGCCACGTAGCAATAATGAATTACGTTTGTTACAGGCTACTTTTAATTTTAAGCCTAATATCATATACAACGTTGAAGCAAGAAATTTTGAAAATAATAGTGTCTAATTCACAAATCAGCTTACTTGTTAAATTTCCTCTCGTTATTAATCAGTCAATAACAAATATGTTAACTAACTCACTGTATGACTAACTAACTGAATAACTATAACTCACTGACTAGCACTGAACTTATTCACTTATTGAATACTTCACTGATTTATATGTTTAAAACTACCTTTCTTTCTACATAGTGCACAAAATAGCTAAATCATGACGTAATGACTAACATCCTCTATCAAACAATCAAATCAGTTAGAACATTGAAAACATAGCTTACAACAATAGCTTTAATAATATAGATTGTTCAGTGCAAAGCAATTATAAAACATTCTACCCTTGTCATTTTGTTCCCCTAGTCTAGAATGCACTGGTATAAATTGTTCATAAAAAATATTTATTTGCTGATGACACTTGGTGTATGATTATGGTTTGTTTGTAGCTAAGCACAAAACTACACAATAGGCTATCTGTGGTGTACCCACAACGGGTACTGAGACCCGGTTTCTAGCATTATAAGTTCGCAGACTTGCTGCAGTGCCACTGGAGGGCGGTTTAGTAATAAGCACACCATTTGTGTATTTAAGTATATGCTTTCGATTCGACCTTTTTTTTTTTTACATAAATAACATTTCAAAAACAAGCTTATCAAAAATCACTTAATATGTTGACGATTTAAATACTTATGTGTGATGAAATCAAACAGTACCAGTCATCTGGCTAATAAGAAAAAACATATATTTCCTATTACTGAAAAAACATTATTCTAATATTTATGATTAATTCTTACAGTCACGGTCGAAAGATACTAAATTGATATATAATGAAAAAACAACCTCAATTTAACTTCAGGTTAAACTTATTTTATGAGACGTATATTCTAAATGAACAGTCACAATAACAGATAATGTTTAGTAATTCAGGTTTTTATTTGTTACTTTAGGAACTGTGTTTATATTTTAGAAGCATATATATAACCAACTAAAGTATATTGGGTCTCACATTATTTTCCGTCATCTCTTGATCAAATGTTAAACTTACGCTTTTATCATACTCATTTAAGCCACATGGTACTGTAATATATATATATATATTTATGTATGTGATGGCACTGTCTGTAGAACAATAACTTGCTGATATTTTCAAAAATTCGTCCAATTTTAATTTTTTTTATTGTTGAAATACTCAATGTAATCCGTTTTTATTTTGATGCTTTTTATGATCATTTTACATATCCATAATTTTACTGAAATTAAGAAAACATGCCACAAGCATCAACTCAATGAGTATTATTCAATTAAAGGACAAAGAGTTATATTTCAAAATGTATTGCTAGGTGTTCTTTATTGGAACTAGAGAACAAATACTGGTAACCTTCTTCTACTATGAGAACACCTTATCACGTGGTTTTATTAACCAACTACCCTTTCATTCTAAATGAAAAAGGAGACGTTTCCTTCTTGTTCAAATTATTATAAGAATTGTTTTGAATTCTTTATTATTATTTTTAAGTCTTAACCTTCAGACTAGAAAACTCTAAATTTATATTATATCTGTTTTATTAAAGCTTAGATATTTTGTCAGTAGGTCTGTGGATCGATAGAAATCCATTTAAAGTGTGCTGTAGTTTAGTATTATACATATTAAGCTAACTACTGTGTAAATTGGATTCTTTATGTTCAAGAAATTGAGTTTTGGAAACGTGATTGTATCGAGCGAGTTTTGGAACAGTGAGTACCAAGAAAGTAGTGAATTTTGGAACCGTAATTATCAAAAAGGTAACTTTTGGAAGCGTGATTACCAAGAAAGTGAGTTTCTGGGAATTAAGACACTCACTGAGAATTAATTTTACCGCTAACTTATAGCATATTCATTACAAAAATTGCATTTTATTAGCGAACACTGACTGCTTGGATCGTTTTACTGACCTCCATTGGCTGTCATATTGTGCATTTGAAGAAACTGAGATGTCATTCTTAACCTGTTATACAACTACAACAGTGCTTGAATATACTGTTAACTAATTTTTTTATATGTTTAGCTCCCAAAACAAACAACGTAGATGTTATTAAGAGTTGTTATTACCTCTTCATAAGACAATTGAAAGATCATCAAGGGCATTTAAATAAACATAGAATCTAGTATAAAGTGATCGTGATTTAAAAAAATTAATATCTTATGACTACGATAAACTTTATTTAACGTGTGTATATTTAATCTTTTCATCTCTTTTCCTTTGTAAGGCTATTATAATTAATCCTCCTCCTTATCTCACCAACGGAATCAAGAGGTTCATGAGTAGTGATAGTATCGTATATATTCAAATAATCCTTTCCAGTTCAAAGTAAAGTTTTTATGACAGAGTGCTTGACTGATTTGTGTTCAATTATCGTTTGCTTGAGCGAATATTGAAATTAGTTAAAGGTGTTCACAAGTCTTTTTTATGCATAAAGTTACTAAAATTAGGATATTTCACTACAAAATCTATTTAGCCTATTTAGTTACAGATGTAACTGAAATCTCTAAGCAAAGAATGGACAAAGAGAAGAGTAAACCTCCAATCCACAAGTAGAATACGCTCTGAAGGTCTTTGATACCCAAACTGTTGACGTTGTTTTTTATGTTCCCGTCACTTGCTTCCACGCACTTAGTAAAATTCTTATTCATCTCAGATATCCACAGAAAAATCAAATCACTATGGACTACATTCTCAACCCTGTAGAAAAAGTATGTATTATTCAGAATATTAACCCACTAAAATCACAGATTTTGAGAAATAAGACAGTTGTTCTCCACTTTTAATTTTATTCTCTACAAAAACATGTGCATACGAGGATAGCTTAATGGGTCGTTGAATTTTATTCTTCACCCCATGTTAATTATATTTTATGTAACAAGCAGAGTAAGAAATCCCAACGTTAGAATGAAAGAAAAACTCATAAAACTTCAATTATATTAACTAAAATGTATACATTTTGACATCAATCTTAAAATAATATGTTTCCGATTATATTCTGCATGGCTTACAAGTACTGTAAATAACGACATTAATTTACTTTAGTACAGATGAGACTGTGGTCTATTTAAATAGGTTTTGCCAGTAATTTTATTTATGTACATATGTGCAGATATAAAACGGGTACCTCAGTCCATTAAACAATGAACCATGAAGTTGAAATGTCTCATTTTGTTAATCAATAGAAAGAAACGATAGAAAAGGTGGCAACGGACATTGCTCTGATTTATAGATTTAGGAGTTTAGCGTAATTTGACTTCGCACGTTAATTACCATCACATCTTGATCACTTTGTCAATGAAAGTACTGTCAATCCACCATCCATTCAACAGTCATATATTGAGTTACCTATCTAATCATACATTCACCAATCCGCCAAGACATGGAAATTTCGTCTATTTTCTCACCAATTAAATAAGCCTATTAATTATCACTCTCTTTACTTTAACAACCTGTTCGCTTACACCAATGATAATTATAGTGTGGCTATCATAAAAAGGTTACATCACCTCATAATACGATCTCAATAGACATCGTTAATTTTTCCCAGTGAAAGAGAGACACTGTTATTTTTGTATTGTATTAATTATTCTTACTTTGTATTCGTAAAAAAGATGTATATTCTAGGAATCAGATGAGCTAGAATCAACCAATACACTAAAGTGTTTTTAATTTGAATGTAAGGAAATAGATATAATGTCAAAATAAGTGATATTTGAAGAAAAATATATCAAACTTATACTGTTAACTTATTTTTTTTCACTATTTTTTATAGGAATTTAACTTACACTTATAATGTAATAGACCAGTGTTTCTCAGCCAGACTTACCAGACGACCCCCCCCCCCCCGCGTTCGGGCTTTGGTCGTAGCAAACCCTCATTATCTCTTCCAGGATGAAAATAATGTTGATGTTCCATGGCGCAATTCATCATAGTTAATAAAAAAAAAGGTATGTACACCTCTCAGACACCTCGAGGACTCAAAAGAAAAAACAATGTTGACTCAGCGTTGCGTTAACAGCTCGTAACCTTCTGGAAACCTACTCGCGACCCACCGTTTGAAAAACACTGTTTAGACATTCACCTTGTATAAAGAAAGCTAAATAATACTATATGGTTTATTGAACGTTATATAAAAATAAATGGAACCAAGTGCTCTGTCACGTAACTGATATAGAATATCTTATTAATAACAAAGAAAGAACACTGTGACCTAAAATGAAAGTCTATACTTACTCACGATTGATTTCTTCAACTACGTGTGATGGTAGTGATTTTGACATTGCTAGTACAATCGGTTTCGGGAAAAAGGGATCTTTGGCAATGTGAAAATTGCATTGTTGTCTCTGAGCAAACCTGTTGGATAAAACATACTGTATGGTGGAGTAGCCGATGATGATGGCATGTGTTCCTTCCTCTACTTTATTCAGCATATGATCGGCTAACATATCCTCTCGGAGAAGAATTCCGTTATTTTCCGAAACTTTTTTCCATAAACGTCTATAGGTTTCAGTGCTTCCAGTCTACATAAAGCATTATACCATGTTTTATTTTCTAGACACACAATAGAAAGAATTATTTTTAAAAAGACCGTTTTTACTACTCTTGATATTTATTAGTTGATTAATCCATTTCCCAAGTATACACTCTTCTCTTAACTGCGTATTTTCTTTTCCCGCCAAACCCTCTACACATAATTTAGTATAAAAGCCCACAGACAACATGAAATGCTTCAGAGCAAAAGTCTTAACATATTGGCCAGAGTATCTTGACCTAAGAATTATTAAAATAATTTGCTATAACTTTCAAAATTAATCAACTTTAAAGGACAACTTTTGTTTTAAAATTCAAGTTTCCAAATTAATGAATTCAAATTTTAACACACTAGCACATAAAACAGTATAGAAGGTTAATAAATTAGTAAAATTACCTAACATTTTAAATACTTAATCTGTATAATAAAGAATGAATTATTTTGTCACGGAAAATATGCAAAGCTAGTTTTGCCAAAGGCTCATTCAATGTATTAGTTAGCAAGTAAATATAAAATTAAATTTGAGGCTACACTCTCGATTATAAGCACATAAAAATGTAGCAAAGTAAAATATAATAAGCTAAAAATACACAATAATTCGCTAAATATAACAGCAATATTGAATTAAAACGGTGAATTATTGCAACTTCGAACAATCTGGTAAATCACATTGATAAAAATTATTAAAAGTAATTAAACATAGCGTTTGAGATACCTGTTAGTTTTCACTCTCTACTTTATGCTTTGGAGATTAGAAGGACAAACAAAAAAATCTCCCCTGGCTAATGTTAGAATTTAATGTATACAAAAAAATACAGATAGAAAAAAAAGTTTAACTCTAATCAAACTCTTAAAATTATAAAAATGATTATATACTTAAAATGTGTTTATGTGCACATTTGTTAAAAGTGTAATCACTATGAGTTAAACATGATATTTTTTAATTACTTAATAATAAAAAAAGTTAGTAAAATGATCAAAGAATCTATCAAAGAATAAGTTAGTAAAGTGTTTTTTTGAATCAACTAACGATTTATAATAGTTTCGGGAGAGGATCAAGGTTTTACTGACTTCTATTTTAGGTTGTCTGTGTGATAAGTTAGGTGGATGTAAATTTTTTTTCTGTATTTTTCTCGTGTTTGGTTCATGTTCCATTATTTTCGCATTATTCCATTTTATTGTATGGTCTTCACTGACATGATGAACTATTGCAGACTGATTGTTATTACAGAACTTTATACGTCTATTATGCTCCTGATTTCTGACTTAGACTGGCCATCTTGTTCTGTTTTGGAAGTAAGTATTTTTGACACAGAATTTTAGATTGCCAGTTAGGTACATTCCTCGAGAGTTCCATCATTTTCAAGTTGTTTGTTGGGTATTTGCAGTGTTTCAAAGTTTGATACGTCGTTGAATAGGTTGGATACTATGTAGGGATATCATATCTACTAAGGAATGGCAAGGGGAATATCTGCAGATAATTACGAAACAGAGGAGGTAGCCTTTCTTGTGGAATTTAGGTGAATGTGTGGAGTGGTGCATTATTATTTGTTGTTCATGTAGGTGGATGTGTAGAGTGGTGCTGTGGTGCACTATTTGTTTTGTTTTTGTTCATGTAGGTGTGTAGTGGTGCACTATTATTTGTTGTTCATGTTTCGTGAGAAGTTGGTTAATCTTTTTCTCTGTATTAGCTTTTTGGTTAGGCCTCATTATCCTATAGTGGCTATTTTCAACTAGAGATGAAGCTAAGTGATGCATTCCTCTTTGCCCGTGATTATAAGGACATTACCTTTATCTGCTGCTAGAATTGTTAGGGTGTTCTCTTTCTTCAAGTTCCTGAGGCAATATTTTCTGATAGTGTAATATAATAGTGAAGTTTACATTCCATGGCTTTCTATACTGTTGTTTTTATTTTGATTCTGGTATTTTCTGCTGATGGGCCAGTTGGGTGCATCATTCCTCAAACGTTCCATCATTTGTAAGCTGATGGTGAAATATCTCTAATGTTTCAAGGTTTAGTAAATTAGTCAATAAGTTGGATACATTGTATTCTTTACAAAGTGGACTGAGGTTTTAACATTTTGATTCTGAGGTTTGTCCTTGTAGCTAGGGTGGGTATTATTTATGTGTTAGAGCGAAGTCTAATCGTTTATTTAGTACATTTTCTTATCGTTCTGTTAAGTGGTAATTTACTTAAGTTTATTATTATTGGTTTAGTTATGTATGTATGTAGTGCTAGAAGGCTTTTTATTAAATTTAAGAAATAATGAATGAATTTAGTGTTTTAATGTAAATTTCTTTAGTGTGTGAGTGTTTGTCCTTTTATGAATTTTGAATAGCTGTCAGTATCTTGATAAAGTATCTATTGTCTATTGTATCATCTATCTTGAAACATAGACCGTTAATAGTTTACTGTCTAAATTGTGTTTGTTTATATGATGATATTTTGTTGTATTCGAGTATGGGTTCTAGAACTAAATATCACCATATGAATAAACTCAAGTGATTAGATAAACATAGATAAAAGGTTGTAAGTTACTACAAAACTTAGTCTAGGAAACTTTCTAAATTTATACAGTACAAATATACTTATAGAATCAAAGGCAATGCTCGAACTTGCTATTCTTTCAAACACATTTATAAGAAACTAAAATTTGAAAGAAAAACACATGACTGTGGCTTAATTATAAACCAGCAAATTTAACATTCTCTTTCAGTTTTTATTTAACAAGTTAACTTAACTTCGAATATATTTAAATATCCGAATGGTACTTGTTCATTAAGAATGTCTACCTAAAGATAATGTATAGCTGTCGAATACATATGAATTTTAAATTAAAAGCAATATGCTGACAGATCATTGTTACTTCTGTAACATGAAAAACAAGGTAGTTTTTCTTCCCAGTAGGTTTTAGAAATAAGACAGTCTGTCTTAAGAGATCAGATCCGTTAGTTTTCATCATCATTTTGAAGAAAAGTAGCCTGCTATGTAGCTGAAAATGACTGGCTCGGTAATATCTTGTTTATAGTTGGAATTAAGAACAGTTCGTTACATCTACACGTTTATAATAACCCTAACATAAACCCACACCATTTTACCATTTACCTAAATATGTTAAATTACGTTGTAAACTAGTTTTTATTAAATATAATATGTAAATTCCAATCCTAATATTCACTCTGTGATTGCATATCATATTATAAAACAATAATTGCACAACGTTTGGTACAAATTAGTTAAACTAATTATACTTTATTTTTAGGTGCTATTAATGCTAGTATTTCCATGCCTTTAGTATTTGCTCCAGTGCGCCACCCCCATCTATCATAGGTTGAATATCACTTCGTTCCAATAAATCCTCCAGACTGTCCACTAGAAGAGGAGCTGGGCTGATCGACAGGGTTGCACTTAAATGTCCACCAAAGCTGCTCATCAAGATTATTACTCCAAACCACCAGAAAACTACAAGAATCCGACTAGGAACAGATATCGTGTCCGGTCCGTAACCTTTAGTACCACCACAAAAATAACTGTTGTCATGGTTAGTAGCCTATATGATCATCTAATTCTAATTACTAATGAATTACTAGTTAAAGTTAATTACTTTATTAGATTAAATTTACGAACAAATGCTGCCTGTTTTCAAAATAAAGTAATTTCAGGTATAACTTGTGAAAAGTTTATATGAAAAAAAAAAAGAGGTTAATATTGTTGATAGTTGAATATTGGAATTTCATATAGAATTAAAGAGACCAACATTTGCGGGCTGATGAAACATGTCTCCCCCACACAGTCACAACATGGCCAGTTTTGACACCAGAAAAACTGTGAAAAACACAGAAAAATCGACAACTGTATATTGTACCAAATCACATGAAAGTTGTCCGATATACGCATGAATACTTCACGAAAACCCCAAACAGTGCTTTACTCGCTGAAAATTTGAGCAAAAGATAAAAATTCCAAAACTGTCCATATATCTGTTTGGAACCTGTAAAAAGATATCTTTGTACCAAATCCCATTAAATTTACCGATATACAGCGGAGTAATTTCCAAAAAAAACTACAATTATGCTTTTTTGTGCCATCTTGACCCCCTATAATTACTAAAAATAGGTAAGTCCAACATTTTTGTTTGTAAATGTGTGTTAGAAAAGTGTCTTTGTACCAAATTCCATGTAAATTGGTCGAAACAAGGCTAAGTAATTGACCAAAACCCCTAAAATTATGGGTTAATTTAACCTTTTTACCTCCCTAAAATTACCAAAAACGGGCTTGTCCCAACTTTTTGTATGTATATGTATTGAACCTGTAAAACGTATCAATTTACCAAATCCCATGTAAATTGGTAAAGCGGACTAATTGTCAAAAAAAACTAAAATTATGCTTTTTTGTGGCATCTTGACCACTCACAATCACTAAAAATGGGCAGGTAGAAACATATCTTTGTAAAGTGGTGAAAATACGGCCGAGTAATTGACCAAAAACCTAAAAATTATGCTTTTTTTTTTTAGATCTGACCTCCCCCACTTGATTGCTGTGAATATGACCACACAGAGGCCCAAAATATATATTTTTGGGTTGTTTTTACCTTTGCCCCAATAAAATCATTAAAAGGCTTAAGTAACAAGAAACTGGTTGTATTGGGCCAAGATATAATCCTATCAAGTTTCAAGTCAATTCTACCGAGAAATTAAGGAATGGCGACCGATTGAAAAGTCTTTGGAAAAAGAATAAACAATAGAAAATCAGTATGTCTCACTAAGGAGACATAATTAATTACTAAACTAAGAACATGATTTAAGATGGGTTCATAAAGCTAAAATAAACATTCTTTTTGAAACATAATACGCTGTTCTTATATGTTGAACATTGAGTTCTTCAGTTGGTATAACAATCTATTACATCATGTTACTCGAGTCTAAAACAGCAAATTTTTTGTGTCACTTGTGTTATCACTTTTTGTAGCATAGACTTGAAAAAAAAGATACTAATTTTTAAACATTATTAGCAAAGAAATGCTTTGTATGTTTTCTAATTAATATAGATGTTTTTTTATATGTTATCCTCGGTATTTAAAGACCTGGTTATGAAACTGCATGCAAATACCTTAAGTCAGCTTATTGTCAACAATCCAAGCTATGCAGCAGTATACAGTAAGTTTGTGCAATACCTATAGATTCATTTTCAACGACCTTTTCAAACTAATGGAAATACTTATAAGCCAATAAATTCTAAAATAAACCATCTGATTTTTTTCTTAATTTAATATAAACTTACTTATGTTTTTATCATCCTTGATACCCAGACACAACGCAGTACATGACAGGTTAAGCAGGAGGTGTATAAGTTAATACATACCACAGAAAAATGTTTGTCTGTTTTATTGATAGACAATAAGAAAGTCAGCTACTCAGCAGCCCCAATAGTCAACTCTTGAGGATGCTCTTATTCGGCCACATAGTGGGATTTGACCATTACTCTTATGGTGCACCTATAGCCCCAAAGTGAGGAGCGCATTTTTACAACATGCCGCTAACCACTAGGCACCGCTCAGCCTCCACTCAAAGATACTTGCGAGTATATAGTATAAACATCCAACGCAGTAACACCATGTTAACCTACACTTTCTAGACTTTTTAGCAGATACATTATTCGGGACTAGTGGTGTTCAAATATTACGAGGTACATTGTAGAGACTGCCAAGAAATTAGTCGTAATGAGTAAAATCGGATGATTTAAAAACTAAAACGTTATGTTAATGAAAGAATAAACCCCACGAAATTATAATTTCATTGATTCTCAGTTTTAAAACATATAATAATATTATATTCTTTTAATAAAAAGAAAACGGTAAACATAGGTTAATTGTTAGATTATGCTTGTTTGTTGGTTAATGTACTAAATATATCATTTTATGAGCTTTCTAAAGATAATTGTATTTCTAAAATATTTTGACTCAAACCAAATGCTTATTGTTCGAACATAAATATATATATATTGATTAGTGTTTGAAATTAATTTCTCTTGTTTTAGTAACACCAGGATTTAAGTTATCGTTTTATGAGTACATTAGATTTGTATAAATTCAACTTTTTCTAAAACCAACAACTATGTAATTTTAATGAATAAAATAACAACCATTTTAGAGATATGTTACTAATCAAAAGAAGCTAATAATTATAGGTTACTAGTGTGTTATTTAAGTTTTGTTTGTTTTGAATTTCGCGCAAAGCTACACGAAGGCTATCTGCGTTAGCCGTCTCTAATTTAGCAGTGTAAGACTAGATTGAAGGCAGCTAGTCATCACCACCCACCGCCAACGCTTGGGCTCCTCTTTTACCAACGAATAATGGGTTTGACCGTCACATTATAACGCCCCCACGGCTGAAAGGGTGAACATGTTTGGTGTAACGGGGATTCGAACCCACGACCCGCAGATTGCGAGTTGAGCGCCCTAACCACCAGGCCATGCCGGGCCATTTTATTTAAGTAAACCTGGTATTATTATTTTCGTTTCTTGCTGTTAAGCACAAAACTACATAATGCGCTATTTGTGCTCTGCCCACCACGACTATCGAAAACTGATTTTTAGGGTCGTAAGCTTTCAGACTTGACGCTGAGATACTGGAGAACGGTATTTATACTATACTAGCTGAAGTACCTGTCCCCTGGACGGAAGTTATGTAAATTCAAGCATAATGAAAGGCTATCTTAGGAGATGAAAAGTTGCTTCCCTTATATGTAATTGTGATAAACGCAAAAACGCCTATAAACACTGGAAAACACAAGATGTATGTCTCCATGGACCCAACAAACCTTCGTGCTAAATTTGGTGAAGATACATTAATAGGGGGGGGGGGGCGAAGTAGTGGTAAAAAAAACGCAAAAACGACCATAAGAACCGCAAAACGCAAAGTGAAAAACTGAAAATTTGTATCTATTTTCCCATTGACCCAATAAACCTCCATGCCAAATTTGGTGAAGATCCATTCATACATGTAGTTACATCGACATACAACAGACAGTACTATTATATATTAGATATAACTCATGCCAGCTACGTTTACAATGCATTGACATTTCTTCTGAAAAGTGATTATGTCTTTTGAGCCCATAAAAGATTGTATTAAATAAGCAGTAAGATTATTAATGAAATTACGAACAAAGATAATTAAGACAAAAATGCACCTGGAGACTCGGGTGTAAGTTTGAAGGCTTACTGCGTTAAAAATCGGGTTTCGATACCAGCGGTGGGCAGAGCACAGATGGTCTATTGTATATAATAACAACCAATTTTTTTTCTGAAATAACTATCATATAGTAGATAAACTAATATTGATAACATTAATATCAATATAATATATTTCTCCTTAAGTCAGTATCAATACTGTACAATGTGCTTTTTTCTTTAAGAATTATCTTGCAAAAGATTTAGCTAAAGTAAAGACTTTACTATAGTCATTGAAATAAGATAATTTTATAAAACTTTCTTTTTATTTTTGTAATTTCTATATATATGTTACATAATACACTAAATTATAACTAATAATCTACTGTTCAATATATACACATGCAGTAATTTGTAAATATTTAAAAAATAAAGCTGCTGAATATTTGCACAAAATATTTGTAAGCTAAGTTTTTGTTTGGTATCTTGACCAAAACCCCTAAAATTATGGATTTATTTAACCTTTTTACCCCGTTAAAATTACCAAAAATGGGCATGTCCCAAATTTTTGTATGTGATTCAGTTTCTCAACCAATCCTTGTCAGTTACTATTCACTAAGCTCTATATTATCATTTATAAAAGAAAAATATCGATTTTTCTGTAATTAAGCTTTATCATATAACGTTTATAACATTTTTGTTTTATAAAAAGTAGAATAAAAAATCATAAGAAAGGGCTTTCAATTACAAGTTCTATTAATTAAACATTAAATAGACATATTAAATCGGGTAATATTTATTTAAAGCTCTTTGTTAGCGAACATAACCTGAAAGTATAATTCAATCAACATGATATTTTATATGATTCTTTGTTTGGTACCCATAAGATATAACTCAGTTTTCAACTTGTCATTCATTACCCATTAAACTTTATACCGTCATTAAATGAAAAACAGGTCTGATCTTAGTACGCTTACTTAAAACTTTCATTCTTAGGCTTAACAGTAGTTGTACACTCACATACTTACTCAGTCACTAAGATAGGTTAATTTAAACAAACAAAATATCAATATTTTTTGATAGATTGTTTAAGTAGAGTATTTATGATGAGTAAACAATAGTATTAGGCTTATTGAATTTTGAAACACTACATTCTTCTTGTTTACCCTTAGGGTTTTTCCACAGTATGTTCGCTAGATCCATAGTCGACAACGCGTATCGCTCCATACCAGAGCTCATCAGGTCATAGTAGTGGTTGAAAAACTATTTAATTATTTAGTTGACGATTCACAGTAGTCCTTAGGAAGTCATGTTAAAATATAAAACACAAAATTAT